CTCCTATAATGATTACAACACCAGAAAAGTGGGACGGTATCACAAGGTAGGTTCATCCAAGGATGCTAAATGTCCAAAAAAATGAACATCAGGTTGTCTATGAAAATCAATGGGATTTTCGAAAAACTTAAAACAAGTGTATTGTCATTTTGTTGTTAGCTTCAAATCTGCATCTAAACTTTTTACTCACTTTGTTTCTCAGATTAGGGACTAGATATGCAAAATGTCTATTCATTTTCATTTGTGCATTTTCAGAAGCTGGGCTACGCGTGAATATGTTCGCCAGGTACATCTTATCATTATCGACGAGATCCATCTTTTGGGGGTGGACCGAGGAGCTGTTCTGGAAGCTATCATAACAAGGTCGCGACTGGCAGCTTACTCTCCTCCAATAATCTCTAGCTTTCTAGGCTCAAACTCCTCACAAGACGATCATGCGTACGAGAGTCACCCGCCCGGTTGTTGGGTCTTTCCACTGCCTTGGCTAACGCTGGAGATGTTGCCGAGTGGCTTGGAATTCATGATGTGAGTAGTCTTGCTAAGTAGCTGGCAACCCGAGATCAGGACGTTTCCGTTACTTAGCTACTTCTAACCACTTTGACACATTAAGTCTAATTCAATGGTGGTAATTCTTGATTTTGCTAATTTGAGAGATGTTTTCACCTTTTTTCGTTGACTTGGTTCAGACCTTGCGTTAAAAGAACTTTGCAGCAATGGTCCTGCTAGGCGAATAAATTGAACAGCTCAAGTTATGCTATGGAGCATTGGAAATATAGAATTAATCGAATGAGTAGCGTAATTATAAGCGGTGGAGAAAACCGAGAGCGAAAAGTCCGTCAGATTTTTATGAAAGATAGACGGCTGTTATGCTACTGTACTGTTTTGACTAAAAATAGCTATGAACATTCTGCGTTTGCTCTCAACCAATTGATAGGCTGTAGCTTACTGTTTGCTATCGTCACTCCTGCTTCTGCTACTCCCCTCTATAACCTTTGTTGAACATATGACTCCCGCTCAATTTCGCTCGCGGTTAAATGATACGGAAATGACCCAAGAGATTTTTGCCAAATTTTTTACACCTTATTTTCAAGCACTCAATTGTTAAAACGCCAAAATATATTTACGTACATTTTTTGAACATGTTTAGGATGGTCTTTTCAACTTCCGACCATCGGTTCGGCCTGTTCCAGTTGATGTACATATCCAAGGATTTCCTGGACAGCATTACTGCCCACGAATGGCGTTAATGAATAAACCAGCCTTCAAAGGTTAACAAACTTACGCAAAGGGTACTGCTCTAAAACTGCATACGTTTAAACATTTTGCACGTTCAGCCATCATCTCATACTCGCCACTGAAACCAGTCCTTGTATTCGTTGCCTCCCGAAGACAAACGCGACTTACTGCTATGGCGTTTATAAGCCATTTGGTGGCAGAAAGCGATCCAAGGCAATGGCTTCACATCGATATGGCTGAGGTGCTCTATCTCTAAAATTTTACTGTGAAATGATATTGTATTGATCATTGTAGCTGGAGGTTTTGCTGCAGTCGGTAAAAGATGAAAATCTGAAGCTAACACTTCCATTTGGTATCGGTATGCATCATGCTGGTTTAAGTCCACATGAAAGAGCGATAGTTGAGCAGGTGGGTTTGTTATCCTGATTCACTCTTACTACGCCATATTTTTGTTCTTGCTTTTGTAGTTGTTTGTCGAAAAGAAGATCCAAGTTCTAATCGCAACAGCTACCCTTGCTTGGGGAATCAACATGCCAGCTCACTTAGTAATTATTAAAGGAACGGA